CCACCCCCCCATAACCCAATCCCCCTGCACCCCCCACCCCATTCCCCCTCCCAGCGCCCCCCCCGCACCCTCGAGCCCCCGACAGAGCCCCCCCAGACACGGCAGCCGCAGTGGTTGTCTCTCCTTTAATAGCTGTCCCCGCGGGGGGGTCCCCCCAGCACCCCGATTGTCCCTCGCGCCCCCCCCGCCCCCCGCACCACCCCGGGGGGGCCCCCAGGCGGCCCGGCCGCCCCGGCACAGCTTCGGGGGGGCCGCTGGGAGGGGGGTGTAAACATTTTTGGGGGTCCCGGCCCCCCCCCCGGGCTCACCCCGGGGCAGCGAAGCACCGTTTCCTCCTGGCGGTTTTGTTTGGATTTTTTTTTGGAAAAGAGTAAAATCGGCCGAATCCCCCCCAAACTGTGTTCCGGGGGGGGCGTTATGAGGGGCAGGGGGGCACGGGGGCCCCCCCCACGGCGCCGTGCCGCAGGTCGATGGGGTGGGGGGGGATCCCGGCGGATTCCAGCGCCAGCCCCCGCACGCAGCCCGAGATCCCGGAGCTGAACTTGCCCGCGGTGAGGGCGCGGGGGTCCGGGGCTCCGCCTGGGGGGACACGGGGACATGTGGGGAGGGGCACACCCTGCGCTGGGCCGTGTCCTGGCACGGGGCACTGCCCACGGCCCAGCAGTGGCCTTATCCCCTGCCCCATCCATGTGCATCCTGTGTCCCACCCTGTGTCCCACTCCATGTTCATCCTGTGTCCCCTCTCATCCCACTCTGTGTCCCATCCCGTGTCCATCCCATGTCCCATACAGTGTCCCACCCCATGTCCATTCTGTGTCCCATTCTGTGTCCACCCCATGTGTTTCCCTGCATCCCACCCTGTGTCCCACCCCATGTCCATCCCATGTCCCACCCTGTGTCCCACCCAGTGTCACATCCCACGTGTCACCCCATGTCCGTCCCGTGTCCCATTCCATGTCCATCCCATTTCCCACCCCATATCTGCATCCTGCCCTATGGCCATCTCGTGTCCCAACCCATATCCCACCCATTGTCCATCCCACATCCACCCCATGTCCATTCCACCTCCTGTCCCCTGTCCCATCCCATGTCCCCCCCACGTTCATTCCATGTCCATCCCATCTCCACCCCATGAACATCCCGGGTCCCATCTTATGTCCCACTTGGTGTCCCCCCCTATCTCCCACCCCATGTCCCTCCCATGTCCCCGTGTCCCCCCCATGTCCCCGTGTCCCCCCATCCTCCCTGTCCCCCATGTCCCCCCCCGTGTCCCACATACCCACGTAGACGTTGCCCTCGGTGTTGGCCATGATGTTGGATCCGGGGGATTCCCCACTCACCGGCTCCTCCCCGTCCACCTGGAGCTGCCCACGCCGGCCCTCCCTGCAGGGCATCGTCAGCACCCCCACCCCGACCCCCACCCCGACCCCCACCCACCCCCGGGCCCCCCCAGCCCCTCCCGACCCCACCCACCTGGTCACCGTCACCCGGTGCCACTCGCCATCGTTGATGGGATCCTCAGAGACGATGGTGGCCTCGCCACTGCCCAGCTGGTAACTGTGGGGGATGTGGGGTCAGCCTGGGGGGCACCTCAGGGGACACAGGCACCCCGGCTCACCCCGCTGCCCTGCTCACCTGAACACCAGGTGCCCGTCCTTCAGCCCGAGTCCCAGGAAATCTTTGGCTTTGCCGCCCTCGCCGGGCTCCTGCGGGCACAGGGAGGGGGGTGAGCGGGGTGGGGGCACCCCGACCCCCTGCCCTGAGGGGGTGGAGCCCCCCGGACCCCTCCCTGTCACCCCGAGCTCACCATCCCGTGCCACAGCAGCAGCCCGTGGGCGCTGAGCGTCCGCAGCTCCAGCTCGATGGTCTCGGGCGCCTCGGGGGGGCTGCGAGGGGAGGGGGGGATGGGGGCCAGCACCCAAAAAACGGGGTTGTGCCATGGGGGGAGGGGGTGCAGCACCCAAAAAAGGGGGTTATGATGT